ACTCGACCCACCGTGCTCGACTAGAGATTTCGCAACACATGATTCGCAGTCGACGCCAGTGACGCATATGCAGTCGTCTCCTGGCCAGCTGGCCTGTTCAACATTTGGCTTGTGCTGGATCGTCTGTGAAGTAAGTCTGATTGTGATGCGGGATTTTGAAAGACACAATAGGTTATCACACCGATGCCGGCTTATCTTCGCATGATAGCTGTTTGTCGGCGTGTGTTGTTGACACTGTGTAGGCGCTTAAGGCATCTATATCTTATACTAGATCCCTCTTATCATTCCTCGTTCATTAGGTCTTCATGGTCGTGTGGCAGCGTAACATGCTCAAACTGCTAACCCTTGCCGTTTATGATAATTCAACCAGTTGTGAGAGCGTAGTTATGGCGATATCCGCACGAGTCGTAGACGTTGCCTTTGTAGTTGCAGCAAACGCCAACAGCTGTCGTATACAGCATTGATGTAAGCGCAACCTCATCATCATTATACACGTTAGCTAGAGGTGGGAAACACCTCAGCTACTGTGCCGAAATACATTAAAGAAAAAAGGAGAAAAACTGCAACTAGTGCAAGCCGGCTGAGCTACCGGTAACAGATGGACATCATTCCGATAAGCTACCAGCCGGCTACTGTGCATCAAAAACAAATACTATGCGAAATTATATGAGGCTAAATAGTGAGATCGTGGTTGGAGGGGGAGGCTAAGAGGAATGAGGTGGGACAAAGAAACTCAGCACGAACGCCACTGAGGTCGGCTCCTAGCCATATCAGCAAGTGTATCCAGCCAAACGTCTTCATCGTCTTTCGGACCCCAACCAGGGAGCCGAGACGCTCCAACCCAGGCCAGCTCAGAAGTGAGGGCCTTCATTCCTCTGGAACAAATCATCGCTTGGCCACCTCTCCTCTTCTTCCATCCACACCCCCGACGCGCAAACAACGCACGTCGCGGGAGTCGGTGGGCTGGCATGCGTAACACGTGGCCTAGCCATCGGAGCCTGGTGCGTGAAATAACGGTGCTGAGCGGGTCATTTCCTTTTCCTGTGTCGCGAACAACGCGTCGAACACGCTCGTTGCTCACGCGGTGTTCCTACCAAATGTGATCCAAACTGCGAAGGCACCGGTGGTCGAACGTAACTAGCCTCTTCAGGTCCGCTGCTTTAAGCGGCCAGGTTTCACAACCGTACAGTAGGGTCGAACACACCGTTGCATTGTACACCCTACCCTTCAGAGCAAGAGTGATGTCGCGCCGCCGCCATAAATGGCGAAGGTTAGCAAAAGCGCCTCGAGCTTTTGCTATACGGTTCGTGATTTCATCTTCAATCCCACAGGCGCTGATACAACTTCCCAGGTAGTTGAATTTTTGAACGACTTCTAAATGATCCCCACCATCGGCCAGCGTAGGGGGCGGTCCACACCAATCTCGGAAGAACGATTTGCTCTTCGAAGGTGCGAAGCAAAGCCCGAAGTGATGGACAGCTAGTGCTAATCTGCCCAGTGCCGCTTGGCACGTTTGTGAGCTGTCACAGATCAGGGCAATATCATCAGCATACTCTAAGTCAAGAAGTCGTTCTCCTAGGAGCAGATCCACACCTTCTACGTCGTGTCCTGTGAACGCGATTTCCATGACTTCGTCAACAGCGAAGTTGAAGAGGAAAGTTGACAGCGGGCATCCTTGTCTCACGCCGCTGGAGATATTAAAGGGCGACGACAGCTTGCCGTAAGCCCTCATTCTGCTCGAGCTATGCGCATATAATGCTCGGATAATATTTGCATATTTCTCAGGTACACCTTTTCTAAGTAGACGGTCCCAAAGTGCATATCTATCCACCGAATCGAATGCACCTTTGATATCAAGGAACACGACAACAGTGGGCCGCCAATATATGTGACGGTGCTCCAACAATTGACGCAAAGTGAAGATGTGGTCAATGCAGCCACGACCTCGACGAAATCCGGCTTGTTCTTCACGAATCTGGCTTTCACGAGTGCCAGTCAGTCTGTGAAGAATGACAGAGGCAAGCAATGTGGAGGCGATGGAGATCAGACTGATTCCTCTATGGCTACCGCATTTCGATCATGAGCCTCCCTTGAAAATTGGGACTATGACGGTGCGGCTCTAGTCGGTTGGGCCAGTCTCCCGCTCCCACAGTTTGACTAGTAACTCGTGTAAATCATCCATAAGAGCAGGTCCCCCGAATTAGAGGAAGATCATCTGGTCCCGCGCCTTTATTTAACTTCAACAGTGCGATCTCACGTTCGACTTCTGAGCGAGAGGGTGGATGCAAAAGGATAGCCCACGGAGCGGGGTGATCAGTGGCCGGCGAGAAATCTAACAATTCCGACCGATTAAATTGCCTTTCAAAATGCTCAGCCCAACGCTCCAAGCGTTTTGACAAGTTGTGGGCAGGCTGTCCACTCTCGTCACTTATAGTTTCACTAACACCAGGTGTTCTGCCGCCCGTTTCTGGTATCAGACGGAATAACTTACGATGATGACCAAGGGCAGCGGCCATTTCCATCTCGGAAGCACGCTGAGACCACCAGGATTCGCGGACTCTCTTCAGGCTAGCACGGAATTTTGCCCGGAGCTCTTTGCGAGTTTCATTGTGTTCGCTTCCAGCCGGAACATGCCGGCGAGCATCGATAAGTTCCAGAGACTGCGAACAGACCCGATGTCTATGTTGTCGATTAGACATACCACATGAGGATTTGCCTGCAGCTAGTAAGGACTGGTGAATATGAGACCAGTGATCTACAATTGCATCCAGTGAGCGTTTATCCAACTAGCATGACAGCTTACTTTGATAGGCATTCAGAACAGCTGGTTTCGCCAATTCGCTGGTGTCAATGCGGTCACAACGTCGTCGTGGGCATCCGCCAAAGCGCATCTGCAGGTCAGCACATACAAGTGCATGATCGGTGTCTACACCTGTGCTCCAAATCGAGCGACAGTTCTGGACGCAGCCTCTCCGTCGGTAACTTATCGCAATGTGATCGATTTGCGTCCATAGCTGGTTCAAGGCTGGTGGGCGCCAAGTCACCCTCCGGCGGGTGCTGTGTCGGAAGTTAGTGCTCGCAAGAAATAAGCGAGCATTCTCACACAAATGAAGTAACCGCTCACCGTTATCATTACGGAAGCCTACACCATGTTGACTGCCCAGATGCATTTCATCAGTGGACAACTTTCCAACTTGCGCCTTCAAATCCCCAGCCAGCACTACAGTGTCCGAGCTTCTTCTGTGGCTAAGGAGCTCGTTCAGTTGACGATAGAAGTCGTCTTTTACCGAGTCTTCGCTCGATTTTGTCGATGCACAGGCAGCGATCACGAATAGCCACTTGTTAGTCACACGTTACTTCGAAGCTTTGAACGAGCCAGCCAATCGGACCGCACATATCTGGCTACTGATTGGAATCCAATCAACCAGAGCAGTTTCAGCCAGGGGACTCAGGGCAATACCAACACCGGATTGGCCGGTGCTCGAAGCTGCATCGTCACCGGACAGGCGCAATGAGAAAGTGCTGCTAGTGTCATCCGAAGGGGATCGCAGAGTGAGTACAGCACCCAGGTCTTGCAGGCGGGTCTCCGATAAGCAGCAGATATCGATTAAGAGGGTCTCTAAGGTTCGAGCAAGTGCTGCCTGTTGACCGATCTGAAGGAGGATCGAGGGCTCCGAATGGAAGCCAATGAACTGGGCTGGACCGCTTGCTTGGACATGGGCCTGTTAACAGGGCAGGAATGACGCTCCGCGTTCACATGTGAGTTGAAACTAAAAGACAAGCGACTAATGAAGCAAGGTGGGAAAGGCCGAGAGTTGGGGGTTGAGAACAGGGGGGATAAAAGTGAAGCTGTAACGGGACGATAAGGGTGAAAAAGCGTAGGAGGGGGAATAAGAAGACGGGAAGGCATGAGCAGTAGTATCCAAACTTCTATCCACCCTGCTCGATGCAGCAGATAGAGCGTCTTTGATTATTCCCTGCGGTGGCTAGAGTATCAGAAATTTGTTTGAAGAGAAATTCATTGTATTACGTGCGCAAGATACTGTCAGGTTGCCCAGGCCTAGACAGGAGAACGATTAGGGTTCTCAACCAAAGCCTTTGGTTCAAAAACCTGACCGCAAGGCAGCGGCGTTGTGGCACTGGACTACAAGGAGTCCGTTTTAAGGAATAAGAAGCCACCCTCATTCCAACCCCCAACCTGGAGGACCAGGAGACTGCGTGTGTCTGGCCAATCTGGTATGAGTGGCTATGAAGGTGCAAAAATGCACCATCCAGTGTAGCTTAATGGATCACTGAGGCACACAAACCATCGCACCACGGTAAGGTCCAGCCTCATTGCGATAGGTAAGCGCAACCTATTGGCCTAGTAATGGCGTTGAACATCACCAGAGGAACAGACTAATGTTACTGATGACAGACCGATATGGTGAAATGGATGCAAAAGGCAAACTCCGGTTGTCAGCAACTGCGAGCGGATACCAAAAGATCATTCATATAAATCAGAGAAAATGACGGAAAAGAAAGGAAGGTATCAGGAGTTGTCCGTTTTTGCTTATACACCCTTTTTCATGCAGTGATGATGTTGGAACTCAACGGAGGCCGATAAAATGTGAGTTTGGTAAGTAATCTATTGATGTACTTGGGCTTGGACGCTATCAGGACGATTAACTCTGGGCAATAGAACGATTAGTATCCTCGATCAATGCTTATAGCTCAGAAACCTGACCACAAGGTAGCTATGGCGCAGTAATGGAATATAAGATGAACAGAATTTAAAGAAATGAATGCTATCTCAGTTTCAACTTCGGTGGGCACGAGTTTTGGGATGCGGCGGCAGACACGTTTGACTTTATTCTTAACCTGGTAAGGTTTAGGTTGACATCTATAACTCATCACAAACCTAGCCTCTTCAAGCAGTGACGGAACTTGTCATCAACAGTAAATATCAGTTCGCCCATCTCAGCCTAATGGTCAAATAGACGATCAGTAGCAAAGCAAAGGCCATTGGCAAGTAATATTTAGTTGAACAGTATCATCTGGAGGCACAATATAGTGCAGATTAGAACAGAACATTCTTTATGACGGCGCAATGTTAATTTTGGAGGGATCGAACGGAGTACCGCGAAATGGTGAGCCTTCTTGATTCCAAGCTTTTGCAAGCATATCTTGCATCCGCTGAAGTGAAGGAATTGAAGAGTGATAAAAGTGGGACGTTCAGAATGACAACACAGACAGGAAAGGGGAGCCAAGTGGGAATCAAGAACAATCTGACCCGGGAAGTCAATGCAGACAAGTTGAAACCAATCGGAAACGAAAAGGTGAACCACCTTCACGCACAGCGATGGAAAGCACTAGTGTATCCTAAGAAAAAAGAGACGTGATGTTCCAACTAGTGCTGCGTGATGAACTAGAGAATCCGCGATGGTTTGGCCTGCGGAGGTGTGCGAAATCACCCAAATATGACAAGGGGATAATTTTCTAGTAGATTTGCCACTATGGATCGTTAGTTCTTTGGAAACCCCATGCAGTCTTTCACTGCAGCATGCAATGCACAAAATCGGCACCACTACCATCGCCATTTCTTCCGACAAATGCTAACCTTTGCAAAATGGGCCCCACCGCAGCTGTGCCCACTGAGATCTTATGATCTTTAACAAATGAGACATAACAGCGTTTGCCAATTGTTTTAATTCGAGAGAATTGCGGATCTGAAAACTGACAAGTATCAAGCGTGGATCGTTTCGTAATCTGAAGCGCTAGTGGGGCTCTGAACGAGCATCTGTCGATTGTCGTCACACGTCCACTGTGCTTGAACCAATTTGCGGGTACAATGTATAGGTAAGCCGACATGGAGTCTAGGGGAATATGTGTGTCCAGAGATGGAATGGAAAGTTAATTGTATGTGCGGTATCAGATAATGGAGAAGTGTATGGCTGTACTTTCACGATTTAACTAACTGGAGAGATAAACCCATCTGTACCACATACTATAAATTTCACAGTAATTCTATGTTTCATCCAAGAGTCTAAGTTATGCCCAACACACACGACACGACAGTGGGGCCTCAGCACGATCGCAACTAGCAGCAGCAATGTGAAAGATCAAAACGCAAGACGAAGTGAAGTGGAGGAAGCGACAAGTACTGCTGAATTAATTGGTGAGAAAAGAACTCATGATTTATTCCCCTAAGAGTAAAGTGATGGGTCTTACCTACCAATGGGTGCTCAACACCAGACACCTGTCAACGAGTGACAACTAACCTACATGCTTTCGTTCGAGAAAAACAGTCATCAGCAAGCTGTGATATATAGGATGAATGGGCGCGGACAAAATGAAGTATAAGAATACCTGCTGCTCGCTGGTGGGAAGGCCTTGACGTTTACGCTGTTCATCATACATCAACTGGTGTATTTTAGCCTGTGCTTCTTCATCCAATTCATGCATCGGTCGGGAACAATCAATTTTCCGAGTGTTTATCTTGTCTTCACCTTCGAATGCAGCTTCCCACCACCGCTCTTGTACTTTATCCAAACAGAAATGGATCTGTAAAAAATATGGGGGAGAGTTTGTGTGCTCTGCTGTAACAACTAAGGACGAGTGTCATTGAAACATCAGAAAGATGACGCACAATGTCAAGAGGCTGTCATACCTGAGAGATGTCACCAGACTACCGTTGCATGGCGTATAGGTCAAATTCTTTGCCAACTACTCTGCGATGCGCAGCCTAAGCACATGACCAGTGCCTGTACATGCTGTTTCCTTATTCCGCTGTCCATTTTTCTGTGTACGTTGATTCAGAGGCATCAACAACATTCAAAATGCATTCAGGTCAAACGCTGAAATTAACTGTCTTGACAGATGTGCATGTATGGCAATCGGCAGTAAAAGTTGACTCGTTGGGACTAATTATCGCATGAATTATCCAGACAATTAGTCGTGATGGTGTCGCAAGTCAGTTGGCTCCATCATTAGTAACAGTAGTTACATTACTTCCAGTTTTCAGTTTCACCCACCCCAGCAAATCGATCATCCGTTTAATCACGAAAAATGCCAAGAACACGTTAGAATGAATGAATGAAAGTGCAAAACAACATTCGAGAGCACTACCCGTGTTGTCACAACAAACAAAGTTATTAAGATTGGAAAAGAAAAAATGCATTTCCTAATTCTAGTGTTTCTTCTGACCATTATACCTACCTCAGTCATGTGAGCAACTCAGAGCCACACTCAACTGGGGGCAGCAACGGTGACTACAACCCGAAATCGGTGGTCAGCGGGTATGCGAACATGACACAGACAGCGTAGGAGATGCGAACTCAGTGCAGTGAGGTACCAGAAACTGCAGAATGAAACAAACTGGTGGATAACAGTCCAAACATGAGTAGTGGACAGTGGACACTGGTGATCAAAGATCTGTCGTTAATGCCTTTAACGTGAAACAGTCATGACATTAATACGCACTATCCTGTAGGAAGTTGAATCTCGAAGGGGCATTCATTCCTCGAATCAGAAAACAATTTGAACCAATAGTGTTCAGTAAAAGATGCGAGTCGATTCAAAAGTAACCTGGCCACGTGAAGCATTCACCTAAATACTGTGCAATGATCAAATTAACCACCCTTTAGATGTCTAAGAAACATCCAGGAGCTACAAACTAGACTGATAAATTGCTTGGTAGGCATTATGGGATAGTGAAAGAGGTTACGATAGACCCTCGACTCAATAGACTGTTCATCGGTTAAAAATAAATGTCCGATAAAACGATGTCGAACGGGCGCAGATAGTGGGCTTCAGCGAACAATAAGTAACCTTAACGTCAGGCGCGCTTTATCGAGTTGCAAACAATTAGTGCCACGCTGTTTATCAGAACATGGTAGAAAATGAAAACCATGGACACCTTATGGATAACGTCGATCCTCTGCAGCAGATGTCGGTGTCAACCCGAATGGAGTTTTAGTTAAGCGGATAACATCCGAAGCGATGCGAGCGCTTGTGCTGGGATATCTTGCTACGGAAGCAGAGCTGAAGGAAACGACTACTATCAGCCTAGAGACAATTTTCTAACCGATTCCTTAGTTCTAACTTAGAACTGGGTATTAGCCAGAAAGTAACCGATGTGTCGCCATCAACAAAGATGCCTCAATCAATCTGAATTAATAAATAATAAAACGGTGTTTGTTCCGATTGAGTTTTGGAAACTAACGACCCATCTTAAATAGATAGCACGTATGAACAGGATCCGGGTTGATCTATGACCATCGGATATTATGGTATGGGTTGCTCTGGGGTTACACGAAAAGTGCGACCCGGAGCAAGTCAGTGGATATGCAAAAGAACACCGCAGAATATCAATTTGCAGTCTCACAACAATGGCACTCGGAGCTCGCATAGCTTGTGTGACATTCCGAAGTCACAGTCAATCATGGGATGTTGGGACATCAACCTGCCAGTCAAAGGTAGAGTATAAAACGCTACGATAGGACACGTGTTACGTATGGACCAAAAATGTGAGCATTTCGCACTGAAAACATTTGGAGATGTGTCGCCTTCGATCACCAGGGCAAGCGCAGTATTGATCACAGGTAGTGAATACACTGCGTGTACAATACTAAGGTCTGCCAGATGGTGTTTGGAAAGCAATCTTTCGGCATCTCACTGGAATACCTGCTAGATATGAATCACTTACGAGGCCTAAATTACGTCATCCGTGTGCTGCTGCTGCAACCAAATGGGCTCAAATTGGGAAATGGTCAGCCTATGGCATGGAACAAAGGCAAGAAGAAGAGACTAAGGCACATCGTCTTCATGAATGACGGTCTTGGGATAGGTCGCGTCGGTGGGTGGAGACCCTATGGGACATGACACAGTCGTGCAGTGAGTGGCACTCCTGCATTCGATTTCTCGTACCTAGCTGCCAATATTCCACCCAGATTAATCTCGTGCATTGTTTCCACTCGTTTTTCACTATATTTTGTTTGCGTCCTACCTGATTTTCTTACTAATGTTAGTTAGTTATATCATAGCAACAAGAACCATAGCAACTGCTGCTACCAGACTTCTTTAATGGAGTCATAGTTGTTTAACCGAACTGAACCATGTCGGCAAAACCGTGAGGTGCAGGACACAGGATTACGCCTGATCCACTTAGGATGGAGCAACAAAGGCGCACGTCTACTAGCTCTTCTCTTACATTCCAGCAGATAAGAGTAACTGGAGCATTAGGGAAAAGGATTCAGATCATAAACATGTTTGAATGAAGATATGGCGACCATCACATATCATAATCCTTGTGAAACATGGTGTGCCATAGTCGAGCACTGATGCCGTTGATGAATTGTATGACATAGACCGCCCAGTACGTTGTCATTTGGATTAAAAAGGACAGGGTACTTGATAACTATGTGTAATTCTACCCTAACTGCATCGCGATGGGTTCCAAGTATTGAAGAATAAGAAGAACCGGTCTAAATGATATGTACCACAGGTCTCCTTGATCTTTCTGATTCGTGATAACCATCCAGCACTATCTCATGGCTATGGTAGGTTAACTAACTTCAAACCACTGGACAAATGGCAAGTCCTTTTGGAATCGTCAGCAGTGTACAAACTGGGGGCTGCTCATGAAGAGTAAATTGGTCGGTTTGTTAACTGCAGTTGACTGCAACCTGTCAGATTCTTGGTCGACGATTGTAACCACTGCATATGGAACCGCCGCTTTGATCTAAAGACTGGCTTCACGTCTGGCCGCAGTGAAAAAATGGTCTTGGTTTTCGTGCACAATCCCAGACCATCCTAAAATATCTGCGGACATTTCCACCGTAGAGTTACTGTCAAATTCATAGATAGCTACGTCATTTACTTTGATGCACACATAATTCAGAGGAATATCAAGCTGTTTCACATTATCAATCCAGTCGAGACCGAGCAAGTTCAGATCTGGGTGCCTTGTTATGTAGCAAATGATTCGAAGTAGCCGTCTTTGAAAATTACAGGACAGTGTGAACGGGTTGTCCTGTTCTCCGAGCCGGGTATTTCTGTGGTACACGTTTCGTTACCGAGGTAGACAACATCCTCAATGCGGCTATTGAGTCCTGATTCGCGGAGTATCGCCAACCACTGACAGGTTCTAATGACTATTGATCATTTCATGCTTCGAATGTCAGCCTATGGTTGGTTCATGTGAGTTGGACGAGTGACCACGTCTTCTCCTCGTCGATCTGGTGCCCATTGCTGGCTTAACCTGCAGAACTTCGTAGGCACCCTCCAGCTCCAGGTGTTTGTTAAATGAGTTCCGGCCAGAATGCCAGGCCTCGAGAACTCACCCGCCCACAGTTTCTTGCACTTCCAAGTATCTCAACGTTCTCCAGATCGAACTGATGGTGTATGGCATCCATATGGATGCTGGGGAGAACGTTAAGATACTTGGAAGAGCAAGAACCCGCATGGAGCCTGGCATTTGGGCTGGAACTCAATCCACAAACACCTGGAGCTGGAGGGTGCCTAAGAAGCTATGCAGATCAAGCCAGCAACGACAAACAACAACAAAAGCAGTACATCAGCCAGCTGAACTGATGCTTCGCTGCCATACAACCATGATGACCTAAGGAATAAAGAATACTAAGAGGGAGAGAAGGGGGACTAACCTGAAAACCTTAATGCCCTAAGCAAACATGCAGGATCAAGGCGCCTACACCTTGTGTTAACAACATACTGTCACAAACAGCCGGCTATTGTGCAAAGATAAGGCGGCATCGGCGAGACAGCTTCCTTGCGGCTTTCACTTCCTCGCGTCATAATCAGCCATTACCCCGCAGATAAATCTGCACAAAACACACTTTAAACAGGCAATCCGACTAGGAGACGGCAGCAGACGCGCCACTGATGTCGGTTGCGAGCCATATCCTGTAAACTCTCGATCCAAGCACAAGGCGAGTCACGTGGACTCCAGACCGGAAGGCGAGAAGATCCAACGGCACCCAGTTTGGTGGTCAGAGACTTTATTTTACGCTATTAAGTTAACTTCTGTCCACCTCGAGCCTTGCGCCATCTTACACCTGGTAGACTAAACAAGGCCCTCCTAAGTAAGCGGTGACCAGGCTTACGTAGCACGTACCCAAGCCAACGCAACTTATTCAGTGCTATCTGTTGTTCTAGAGAGCTAGCATGATTATCACTATCTAGTACTCGCCTACGCACATTATCGTCGCGGAAGCGCCAGTGCCATCCGGCACCAGCAATACTTCGCAGACAACGATGATCAAGCCAGTAACAGGCAACAGATCGACAAGAAAAAGACGTGATCATTCGTCCGACTCACATGAACCAATCATAGGCTGACATTCGAAGCATGAAACGATCAATAATCATTCGGATCTGTCAGTGGTTTGCGATACTCCGCAAATCAGGACTCAGTAGCTGCACTGAGGATGTTGTCTACCTCGGTAACGAAACGTGTGCAACAGAAGTGCCCGGTGGGGAGAACAGGGCCATGCTCTCATCCACACCTCGAGCTACGGGCATTCTCAGGAATTTCCAAACAGGGCAGTGTACTACATCAGGTAAGGTAAACGGTTCTCCTGAAGCATTGGTTGTAATACCAATTGTTATTTGAACAAGTGATTCACCGATTTGCCTCCACGTTTTCGCAGATATGACAGTGAGATCTGAAGCAGTGTCAACTTGGAGGCGCACGAGCAGTTATTCGTAACCACCGCAACGAACCATCTGCGCTTTGCGGCCTCTGCATCGAAGGTAGCAAAAATAAGATAAAGCTGAGATCCTTGTTCTGTTAGAGATGTGGGTACGCACATTGTGGAGTATTTGGTGGAGACGTTATAGTGGAATGCTGCTGTAACGCAATGATTCTCCATGCAACCGCGTTTCTTGTATTTCTGACAAAGCTGCTTCTTGAAAGTGCAAATATTGATGAAGTGCCATTTTCCACATTGTCAGCATGTGGATGGTGGTCTGTATGAATTCACTGAGTTTGGGATCCTCGCTGGACCTCCGTGCTGACTTGACACCGCCAGCACATCTAAGGGACATGGACTGTGACCTTGGGCAATCGGGTTGGTGTCGTGTTTCAATTAGATTAATCTCTGACACTCTGAGGTGATAGACATGAGGTTGATGGACGGGTCTTGCTCAATTTTGTTAAACAGCCTCATGCGTACTTCGGTAGCCTCGGGCGCTTGGATACAACAAACACTTTTAGCTGGAAACGCTCGCAATGACGGCCATAACGGTACTCGCATTAGTTACGGAATCGTCTGATGCGCACTTAACAAGCTTCCTGTAGCTGTATCGGATGTTGAATAAGGAAGACTGTTCGCCAAAAACGCCTTTAACAGGTACGAGTTGATCGATGGTAAAATCATTAGGGCAATTGGGCAAAATAAGATTGAGAAACCTGTCGTGCTCCTTAGTTCTCAGCATCCGCAAAAGCAATCTGCACTTTTAACCGTAGTCAGTATCGGCAAATTCGGATCGGAAAACGTCTTCGTATCTGCTGAACAAAGATTCAAACGTTAGGCCGGCATCCGGGTTATACTGAAACTCAGAAGTTCTCTTAGCGACGGCATCCACAGATGATCGCTGTTTTTCATTGTTTGTAGCGCAAGCCACCGAAAGATATTTTCGATCAATCATGTCTGCTTGACTTCAAATTGTTCCTGTTGAGGTTGAAGTACTGCAGTAAACTCCTCCACTGAAAACGACATTTTCAGGTTCTGAAATTAAAAATTATCTGTCGCCAGTTGCTATAGTCACCATGGTCGCACAGGGCCGCTCTAACTAAATGTTCGAGAAAAGTTGTCCGCCCGGATTGGCCCATCAAAAGGACAAGGACGCAGGTGCGCTTTAATGGCCGCCAGACACGAGATAATTAAGATAGCACGTGCTATCGCTATTTATGGGGTTTGGTGCCAGCCCGTAGTCTCAAGGATCACAAACCTGACTTGCGATCCGAGAGCACGGATGCGAGCCTGCGTAGGGACCGGGTGACCCTCACAGTATCCTTAGCACACGAGGGACTGGTGGTGGTTTCGCGGCATCGAAGCATCGGTACTGCGTGCCGGCATATTGCTGGTCCCTTATGGGTTGTTGGTGAGTTATTTGAACGTTCCTTTTGCTCTTCTGTCCTTTACTTACCAATCATAGCATAAGGTTATCCGAGAACATTTTTCGTTGACCAATGCGATTATTCTACTGTATTTCTGGAAAAAGGTTGAATTTTGGTCTATTGTGGGTTCAATAATTCATTCTTTGGAAGGTGCTCCTCTTAATAGCTGTAACCCGCAACTCGACTGTTACCAGTCCATGATGAGGACACTGTGCAATGGGAAAGGAGACAACAGGCCTCTATTAATTTAGTCATGTAGATCGTTGCCATTACCCGTAGCCCAGTGGAGCGAAACACAGGTTACAGGCTCCACTGCCACGGGGGTCAAATGGAATACGCACTGCTGGCGATTCACGAAAAGAGGAAACAGTCTTAGTGTTTTTCCGGGCGTGTGATGGATATTTAACTGAGTCTGGACGTAAGGAATTTATACTTACACCAATTAAATCTCCCAAATAATCCCTTGTAATGAGTATGCAGGCCAAGCGCCTTACAATGCCACAAGCTAATTGAAGGCTTAGGTTTGGTAAGTGGTTGCTCGGAGGCTACCCTGTCCTCTGCACGATAGTAACTTGTAAATGTGTAGAGAGAGGGTCACGCCATATCAAATCTATTAACTTCGGTGTAACGGTCGTTGCGACACTCCGTAGACCAGTGGTCCTACCAAGAATTGGTAACAATGGGGTTTCGGATTCCAGTCTCTCAAGGGTCAGATGGAATGAGCACTGCTGACGATTCCCAAAGGGATGAAACGGTCGTCCAGTGCATTTCCGGGAGCATGGAGGCTGTCTGATTGAGTCCAGATGTAACGTATCCAACTTACAACGCCAAAAGAGTGATGAAGCTAGTGTATGTTTTACATGTCGATCAATGTTTGACCGTTTTACAAACTGAGCAGTGCTTCGGCACATCGGTGGTGCCGTTGCTTATACGGGAGACGGGAAGGTTGATGGATAGAGTGGGTTGGTGGAGAAACATAACAAAAACCAACGGATGACTCGAAAAATGGTAGTCCAGCTAGCCAGTTTAATTTCGAATCAAGTGTCACATTGAGAACTTATCTGGAAAGTTAAGACTTGTCTGGTGGCTCACATGATTCTCTTTTGGATGCAATGTCCAAACGGCGTCATCTTTGAGAATGTCCCAGCAAAGGATTCCATCAAAATAAGGCCTGTTCACTTCGTCAGCTTTTAACGCGATCTGGATACGTTTCCGATCGACTGCCACTCGCAAATCCTTCGCAGTTTTAACACTCGGTGGAACCTGTAAACTATCGATAGCCAATGAGTTAACTCACCTTTACTCTGATGTCAATATCTTTGATAGTCTGACTCCACGTATATGCATCTCGTGTGGCTCCATTATAGCATTCGGGATCCGACTGGTAAACTGTTGGCGAGCTAGGTTGGTCAGACTTCACAAGATCGAACAATTACCTCTTGGAGTCGTCGTTAGCCACCGGAATCTGGCTGGGAACTTCTTGCGCAGCAACCCTTGGAGTGTTCTCGACGTCTCCATTTACTTCCTGTATCGTAGAATCAAGCACAGGTTTCGTGGAGTCCACCTTTGGAGTCTGGTCACTGGGCACAGGATTGGAGCGGGAGGTGAGATCAGCCTGTCTTTCTTCTTCATACCTTTCGAATAACGACTTGTAGCGTTCGAAAGACTTCAAGAACGGAAATGAGGGTGAACTCGACAGACGCTCACCTGAATAACCATTCGTGCACTGACACCGGGAGGAAAGCCAAGCTTTTTCTGATCTGGTGTCATGATATGGTAGAAGTCCGTTCTGGTCCGTATGAAAGATCACGATTATCACGAGTCCTTACCGACGCATAAGGAAGCCGAAAATGACATCCAAAAATTTCTCAATCTTTCCTTCATGTTGTAATATACCAAGTAATGCACTGTCATACTTTTCATTCATTAGGGATTACCTGAGATAAGACGCGAGGGAAGATAATTGCCAGTTGAAAAGTGTGAAGCAACAAAAACAATGCAACATGAAAATCGCTTAAGGGTTGTGCAATCATTGGGTTTACAAATACACACATCGACTCTAATCAAGAAGAAAATGTTTAAGAATACACTTTAGTTACATCCACATATCGACAGTATTCTCCCGATTCCACCATAGTGCCAAGGAACATTTGTTGTCGGAAAGACTGGAGGGGACGCGGAAGCTAGGCTTGCAAGCTTAGCGACACGATGACGCGCCCACCTGATAATGCGCCGCGGTGTACTCTCAACTCTATCGTTTCAATACTATATAAAATCGTGCAAACCTAGTATTCAATGCGGATTGTATTTAGTTTTGGTGGACGCTCATCAATTCTACTCAAGATAAATAGTGACACCAGCACATTGTTGTACACCTGAACTAATCTTTTGCATCGAATTTGAAGGTTGTGCGCCCAAGATATTTCACTGACCTCAGCTATTAGATGCACGCCAACATTTACATGTCCATGAAATCATCCCGCTTCAGTTCAGTTTCGTTGACCAGATATGATGTGCGGCCTAAATGTGTTGGATGCATTTGCATTGATTTATATAAACTCCACAATAATAGTTGTGGCGAAGAGTGGAAAGTGGGAAAGCTAAGCTGCAAGCATTTGGGAACGATCAGAGGTGGAACATTTGTAGCCCACTTGTCAAGCAATTTTACATGCCGATAGAATATCCAAGCACTGATGTGACCGACCTGCGGATTCCTACAAGGGAAGAGAGCACCATCCGAGCTGTCAAGCGCTTTCAAGGCTGAAATAGGCGGCAAGTGCGTTATGGCGCTGTCGTGATGCAACAGGTAAGAGTTCCGTGGGTCCGGTGATGATTAAGAGGAGTGAGAGTACCGGTGCTGAGGATGTTACGAAATTCATGATCAACATTATTAGCGAGAGCAACCAACTCGAGATTTACTGGAGTAACTCAACGCAGCCTGGTTAAAAAGTTATGGCTCCGGGACAACACTGCAATGGATCAACGTATCTCGCACTTGTCATTGCAGAAATAACAGTCAGAAAAGTCAAAGAAGGTGAAACAAGTCAAACGGAAAGTAGTATATGAGCCGCAAGGAAGGCAGTGAGAGAAAAAACATAGATAGCCTCAACCACGCTTGGCCTCAATAGGCCAAATGAACAAGGAAACTCTTTTAGAAAGACAAGTAGTGAGCTAACCCAAGTACGTATTCATCCTTTCTATCATACATCATGATCATCATCATTGTTACACCCAAGCAAAATCAGAACAGCGGTATGGTAGTATGGAAACTTTAGTATCCATATCATGGTGTGCCTCGCTTTATCGTGAATAAAACACTTATTTATTTGTTTAGTTAAAGCGATACACTCCACTCAGCACGTGAAAACTGTTTGTCACAAGTCACATGAACGCGAAAACGATTTCCAGTTCGAAGCGAATCAACAGCGAACACTGATTGGATGGTACACAAACACGCACGCACTCAAGTACACGCGCTCCTATGCAGCAGTCTTTCCGGCTATAGCGGGAGATGGATTTGACATGACTAATGGCCGTATCATTCCCCCTTGGCTTGGACTAACCGGCCTGGAAGCGCTCGACTGGTCGGCGTTGACGATTAGAGCGACGTAACAGTTCAGTTACTGGCAGTGCGTCAGTCTCCCACATATCGGTCGCTGATTGGAATGGTAGATCTGGTTCAGCACCTTTTTCTCAGTTCGACAGTTTTGGTCCCACATGGTCCAAATGGTGCCGCAACGATCCAGCCATCCTTAGTCTCTGCTTCTGCGATCCGTCCGGTAGTTGATTTTACGGTGGCTCGCTCTCACCCAGAGTCCGTAGGTAAACGGACGTAAATAGGGTCTCACTCTGTCGCAAATCTGTCCCTGCTGCAATTATCAGGTTTCTCTGCCCGTTGTTGCCTTTCAACAACTTGTGACTCAATAGTCCCATGCAGTAAATCTAATCGTTCACACAAGTGTTGACCGAACATTATTTCTGCAGATCGTGTCGTTTGGGACGTTCCCGTAGGCTAGCAGGGAACGATCCAAACGCACACTTAGTAAAGCATTTGATTGTTTTCTTAGTAGATTTTTCAATATCTGTACCGCCCTCTCTGCCAACCCGTTGAAAGACAGATGATAAGACGTAATAGTTATGTGTCTAACGCCGTGCGAGCGAAAAAAGGTAGAAAAGTCGGCACTGGAATACGCTGGCCCATTGACAGACATTAACGCTTCAGGGAAAGCAAATATCGCGAACGTTGTGTCTAGTTTAGTTATGGTGCTAGCTGAAGTTACTGAAGTCAGAATGTGGGCTCCGTTCCATTTAGAATGGGAGTCAACGATCAATAAAATCATCTGACCCACGAAAGGACCAAAAAAGTATACATGGACGCGTCTTCAGAGTGTTTCTGGTCACTTCCAAGGCTGCATTGGCGCATGGAGGCAGTTTCGGCTTTCTTGACAGTGTCCACAACTTCCAACATTCGCTACAATGTCATGGTATAATTCGGGCCACCACAAATAAAAGCGAGCTATTGAATTTATTTTTGTAACTCCTGAGTGTGTATTATGTAGTTCATTGAGGATACGTGACCGAAATCTTTTGGGGACTATAAGTCGTGCACCACACTGTAAACATCCGTTATGGAGCCTGTACCCAGATATCGTATTACGGAAAGGCATGAGTTCTTTGGATGTGTAATTCGGAAACCCGCCTTGAGCGTAACATTGCACCAGCGATAAAACTGGATCTTTATCAGTCTCCTGACGTGTGTCCGTCGACGTGAGCTGGGAATCACTGAGATGCTGAACCAAGTTTAGAAGCTCTTGTGGAGTGAACTCCTCCGAAGGTACCTCTGATGAAGGAAGTCGACTAAGAACATCAACTGTGGTATTCTGCTGACTGGGAATGTACTGGATTTTATATTTATATGCAGATAGAATGAGGGGCCAATGAATCATTCTGGGTGAAGCCATTTGTTGGATTCCGTTCTGGTGGCCAAGGAGGGAAACTAGAGGTTTATGATCCCTATGTATCACGGTCGGCCAAGTACACATGGGTTAAACCGGGTAGTACCGAAGATAAGAGCTGCCGCCTCTCGATCAAGCTGCGAGTAATTTCGTTTCGCTGCTGTCAGTGTATTTGAAGCATAAGCAATGTGTCGCTGATAGCTCTCCGGTAATTCATGCAGTAGAACAGCTCCAAGACCGTATGGTGAAGCACCATAAGAGAGAACGACAGGTCTTTGGCAGCTGACCACAACTCCACAGATCACAGAGCAAATCACAAATGAAGTCAAGGAAAAATTTGCACAGGTTTTCCAGGATGGTCTCGGTTGCTGCACCAAGCTCAAGGCCAATCTTCAACTACAACCAGATGTTATACCAGTTTTTAGACCGAAACGTCAAGTAACATATGCCGCTCTAATAACGGTAGATAAAGAGCTAGATCGTCTTCACTAATCTGGAGTTATTCAGCCTGTCAGTTATTCATCGTTGGTAGCTCCTAATGTTATCGTTAAAAAGGCAAATGTCAAAGTAAATATATGTGCCGATTACTCGACTGGACTTAACTCTGTGTTAGACTCACATCAGTACCCACTACCAGTTCCAAAGGATTTGTTCACCAAACTCAATGGTGGCACCTGTTTCGCGAAACTGGATCTCGCCGATACATACCTGCAAATAGAAGTCATATATGCTTGCAAAGAACTCCTTACGATTAACACACCGCGGATTACTCCAATTTAATCATTTACTATTTGGTGTAAAATCGGCACCAGACATATTCCGGCAAACAATAGATTCCATATTAACTCGGCTATCAGGAGTAGTTACTTATCCTGATGACATCATCGTCACTGGCTGCAGCCAGGAAAAATTGTCACGTCATTTACAGTACGTACTCGACCGAATTCAACAATATGGTTTTCGTCTACGCGCAGAAATATGTTTTTTGGACTCCATTAAATCTCACGAATTTATTTCCGATAAAAGTGGTCGTCATCCTGATCCAGAAAACATTTCTGCCATCCAACAAATGTCCCCTACGATCTTTTCTCGGATTGGTAAGCCATTATAGTACTTTCTTACTGGATATGCATCACGTTCGAGTCCCACATAACTATCTTTTAATGAAGGATATGCTGTGGAATTGGTCAAAAGAATTTCAGTCCGTGTTTGACAAAGTTAAATTACTGCTGAGTTCTGACTTGCTTCTCATATAATACAACCCCGCTTAGATATGTCGTTTAAGACGCTTCAAATTACGGAATCGGAGCTGTCATCTCTCAGGTTTGAACAGATGGTTCAGAAAAAGCAATCGCTCATGCAGCTAGATCACCAACTGTTACGGAACGCAATTATGATCAGGTCGAAAAAAGCTCTAGCCATTGTCTTCGCTATCAAGAAGTTCCATAAAATGCTTTACGGACGTCATTTTACTCTCATGACAGATCACAAGCCTCTTCTCAGTATCTTCGGATCCAAGAAAGGTGTCCCAATTTACACAGCTACTCGGCTTCAACAATGGGCTACTATGCTACTTGGGTATGAATTTTTCATAAAATACCATTCGAGTGAAGATATTGGCCAGGCAGATGCATTGTCACGACTCATGGAATCGCACCGCTAACCACCTGAAGACAAAGTTGTTGCGTCAGTAACCGTAGAGCCAGAAATAATCTCCGTGCTTGTTAGTTCGGTCCGCGCACTACCAGTTACTTCTACTAGGACCCGCGAGTGCACTGCTCATGATCCGTTGCTACAGGAAGTTATTCCTTTTCATAGCACTCACTGGCCGTCATCGTGCCCTTCTCATCAAGTTGAATCGTTCTACCAAAGTCGTTCTTCTCTGACCGAGGTCAACGGGTGTATTTTCTTTGCCGAACATGTTGTAATACCTACAAATTTGCAGGAATGTGTTCTGAAGCAGTTTCTCTTCGGGCACCCTG